TTATTGGCATAAACTGATGTGTTATATTATATTACTTCTTTATATCGCGAATAAATCACGATTTGGCCTCGTTTTCTTTCCCCTAGATATGCGCCGCTGTCGGATCCTGGTGGCCTTGGATCTACTTTGTCACCCTCATTGTTCTGGGTTCATTCTTCGTAATGAACCTCATTCTCGGTGTACTGAGTGGGTGAGTTCAGACGAATCTCAGATAAATCATAGGGACTATTTTCCATCAAGTTAAAAATTTTAAGTCCTCCTTTTCCCCCAAATGCTCTGGCTGTTTCTTTTTCTTTTTCTTCTTCTTCTTCTTCCAGTTCTGAATCTATGTTTTCTACCCTACCCTCTTTGCCAGATTCCGTTACTGCCTCTCACCTCCCTCTCTACATCAAGGCCCTCCAAACTTTCACCTCATATTGGGTGTAACTTTGTTTGCGAAACCCGGCCTATCCATTCAACACTACTGGCCTGTCCAGTAAAACTGATTTTACCTCTTAGAGTCCAAATACTCTTGTATGCCGGTTTGCATAATTAAAGGAAGTTTTGCGGCCTTTTGGATCAGATGATTAGGAAACAGAAGATCTGAGAGGAGAGAAGGTTGTAGCTTAGGGTACAGGCGGAAAAAAGTTTAAATTTCTGCCGTACATGAGGCGATTGAACACACGAAACATTCAGCGCAACTGCAAACGGTAAATATACTTAGAAGAGAAAGTGTGTTTTTGCAGTAATGATTAGTATGCAGTTTTAATCTAAGATATTTCAGTTACGTCAAAATGCCGGCATTAGAATGCGCCTCTAGTGCCCCAGATAGTCTCTGGTTGAAATGTCCTTTCGCTCGCGAAATGGATTCTGATTTTAAACTTTTTAAGCACCAAGATATACCCTTTTCGCAGTCAGAGAATTTAACAAAGACGTAATTTTTCAAAAAAGGCGTACCGATATAAAAGACCACAGATTAAGATGTAGGTCCGATTTTTGAATGGAACAGTTGCCTGCTACTAACCAGCAGATGCTCATTGGTGGACGTTCACCTGACGGAAATAATCTGTCTCGGTCTGCCTCGGGCCTCGACAGAGACCCTGACAGTCATAACAGCTGGTAGTATAGGCAGACTGGTATGACTGGCTGACGACGGCTAATAAGCCATAAATGGCCGGTGCTACCATCTTCCTATACTACCGGCTGCTACGGCTGTCAGGGCCTCTGTCGAGACCCCAGACAGAGCGGGACAGATGAGTCCCGTTAGTGGTCGGATGAGCGTTCATCAATGATTGCCAATATCTCTCAACCTAACCCGGCAAGACAACAAGCTCGTGGTTCAGTTGCTAGAGCCTTTGACTCTGATCAGAAACATCGTGCGTTCGAGGCTCGGGTAGGACACCAGTTGGGTCTGGGTATGACTGGCTGACGACAGATAATAAGCCAGAAATAGCTATTTCAGTCTCCCTTGTCTTTTTAGGCAATAGTATTTACCGGCATTAAAAGCAAAATATATTATTAGACATCGGTATTTAACTTGTTTTCGAGCAGTGTGAGGACTTAAATCTTTTTTTCTCTCTCCCTCTCAAAATTATGCATGGGAAATTTCTTGTTTATGTGAATTTCGTGGAAAACGGCGTCTCTGTCGATGGTACGGCTCGAGGGAAAGCGTCGTTCGATTTAGCAAACTTTCCAGCAGCGCGAATTATCGCGACGCTCAGAACTATCGCACTGAATTGTAACATTTCTTTGCGCACCGGGTGCTGCCTTTGCTGAAAGAAAAATGGGAATTTGTTTTGTAAAAAAAGTATAGCACATGTTTAGAAAATTTTAGGAAAAATCAAATAGACGGGTTGTAGCACTGTATTGGAAGCTGAAATTGTCCCCCTCCCATAAGCAAATTGCAGTGAGGCAGAAGAAAATAGTTGCTGCGCCATACGTTAGAAAGTGGACACTCTATTTTAATGGCGATGTTGAATCGATTTCAACGTTTTACGGAGCTCTCTTTGAGGGTTCAAGATATAGCCTCTGCAACCGTGTCTGACTCAGGGGTACACAAAAGCGAGTTGCATGATTGTTAAACACACGCTTTTTAACCATCTAAATGATATACAAAAATGACGAACCACCCTTTCTTTTGCCATGTCACGTCTGCAGAGAGTTCAGTAAAGAAAAACAGAAGATTGACCGGAAGGAACAATTTCGAAAAGTGCGGCAAGAAAAACGAGAACAACAGGACTACCAAAACTATAAGGAGTGGATAGAAGTGGCGGGTGAGTACTTTATAGAACTGGCACGAGTCTCTTAGATTTGTCCCCATTCCGGAACATCTTCAATGTCTTGCACTTGTTTCCCTTACAGAGGACTTGATTGATTCCGAGGCTGACGACAAAAGCAACAAGGAATTGGATGGCGGTAAGATATATTACATAAAATATTGTCTGATAAGTTGTTTGCGTGAAACTATATTGCTATATAATTATCGTTTGCATCCACGAGAAGATTTGAAATACACAATTCGTATGCAACAACACCCTCGATTGGGTAGAGTTGACTGACGATGGCTAATACGCCGGAAATGCCCATTCCAATCTCCATCGTCTTTGCTGTTTATATATTTCTGTCACCGATCAGATACAGATACAATTAGCCATGTGGCAAGGTTCGGGAGTTCCCGAAGACACTGGACACCACAAACCAGGGCGGGTGTGCCTTGTATCTGATCGGTGTACACCTATCTACTACATATATATATATATATGTATGCGGAAGGATATTACTAGCAAAGACATGAGACACTAGAATGGCCATTTCTGGCTCATTAGCCGTCGTCAGTTAGTACCTGCTACTGCATATCCCCGATCTCATACCGGCAAGACTGCGAGCTCGTAGCTCAATGGTTAGGACTTTGCCCTGAACGGAAAGATCCGTGTACGCGTATCTGCTACTATATATATATATATATACCAAGAAAAGAATCCTGGGCATTATTAGGTGCATGACATGGAAGAAGGTGTACGGGACATGAATTTTAAGGGCCAGACCCTAGATTTCGATGAACATTTTAGTCGAAGACAATCA